TGTAGACCAGGCTGGCCTTGAACTCACAGAGATCCGCCTGTCTCTGCCTCCCGAGTGCTGGGATTAAAGGTGTGCACCACCACCCCTGGCATTATTCAAACTATTTTATGAGCTAAATTAGTGGTGGAAACCCAGTTTCCAGGCTTCAGGCTATGTGTAGATATAAATATACCCAGACCTTTTTTTTTTTTTTATTTCAAAGCATGGTCTCACTAAGTTGTCCAGGCCTTGAACTTGCTGTGTAGCCCAGGCAGGCCTTGAGTTTGCAATCCTCCTGATTTAGCCTCCTGAGTAGATGGGATTATAAGCCTGTGCTGCCATGTCTCGTGAGAGTTGGAGATTTAATTAGGTGGAAGTAGACCAGAAGAGACACGTTTTAGGATGTTCACACTTGAACTAGAGCGTAAGATTAGGTGGTGTGTTTTGTTCAACTTCACCTGGAGATGTTAAGACAGCAAGATATGGGAACTACAGTTTAAAGTAGACACAGTAAGGTATTCCAACAAAATCTTTTATAGACATTACCAGAATCAAAGAAAGACTAAGGGAGATATCCTCAAACTAAATAGCTGACACCATAAAGTTGAAAGAACTCTCCATGAATGGAAGATGGAAGAAAGAGAACAGAGCTGGGGAGGTGGCTTGGTGGGTAACAGCACTAGCCATGCTAACCTGACAGCTTGAGTTCGGTGCCCAGAAGCACGTAAAAGCCTGCTCTGGTGGGCCAGGTAGCCTGGAACAAGCTACACGATGGCAGAGACAACAGAGAAACCTTGCTTCAACAAGGTGGAAGGCAAGAACTGACCCCTGAAAATTGTCCTCTGACCTCCACATGTATGCTGTGGCATATGTGCATCATGGCATGCAAGTACTCACACTCGCACACACATTAAATAAATTTTTTAAGAGCAGAAATCAGGGATATGTTATAGAAACATGAGTGCCTCTTCTGACAGATTATACTTCTACCATGAGCAACAGCGATCTCATGAAATTTGTGTGTATGTGTATGCATGCACATGTGTTCGTGTGTGAATGGGTACTTACATAGATTTGGATTCACATGTGTGGAGGTCAAAGGACAAGCTCCAGTGTTGATCCTCAGGTGCCTTCTACTTTTTGTTTAGGCAGGGACTTTCCTTGGCTTGAATATCACCAAGTATCAGGCTGGCTAGCCCATGAACTGCCTGTCTTCATTTCCCATCTGCCATCACCTCCCATCTTGTCATCTTACTGGCATGTACTGCCATGCCCAGCTTTTTATGTTGATTCTGGGATCTGAACTCAGGTCCTCATGCTAATGAGGTGAGCACTTTACCAACTGAACTATTTCCCCAGCCCCCTCATGCAATCTTCCTGGAGCATTAACTCTTTGAGCCACGTTAGAATAAAGGATGGCTAATGTTTGCACCCTTATCTATTAGTGTTTATACTACAGAAGTTAATGTTTAATGTAGAAATTGGTACCTGGGACCAGAGGACACATAATGGATTATCAGAGAGAGTAAGATTTATATGCAAATACAGGCCCTGAAACAAAGAAGATGCTTGGGAGTCATGGGGCAGCCCTGCCCCCACTTCCATGGGTTGTTGAACAGGCTTAAGGAGGAGGGTATACCCTGTTCTGTCATTTAATTCCAAGATCTAGGATTGATTCAAGGACAGCAGGGAATGGGGTAGAGAAGAGGGTCTTTCTGATGACCCTGATTTTTCTACCTTCATTGCTCATTGGTGTCTCTGCTTTGTCAAAGCAACTACTGTCATTCATATTCCAAAAGTCCTCTTTGTTAGTGGTAAGAACTTTTGGTTGCCCCTTTGCCTAGTTGTACACCCTTCCTTCTCCTGCTTACTGCTTCCTAGAAGAGACAGTAGATGCAACTTCAGGTTACAGTGTTCCTACAGTCCCAGGAGATAACAGTCCTAGGACGGACCCTAGGCCTTTTCAGGCTGCAGCCAAGCCTTTTCTTTCTCTGCTTGGGTGTCTGCTGTGCTAGTCCCAAGGACCAGTGGGTCCCAGATGAGGATGTTCTGCATTGACTTGGAGGAGTATTACATACTATGATATATCCAAGTTGAGCAATGAAGTCTCAAAGGATACCAGCCATTCCTTCTCTATTGCTTAGTTTCTCCTCCTTTGAATCAATTGACTTTTATTATTCAAATTAATACTTGAACTCTAAAGTGGTAGTGAAGAGAACCTGTGGATGTTGCCAGTACTCCGTATTCTTAGTCAGCTGTGAGTGATCTTAGTCCGAAATTTTCCAGAGGGCTCTAGAGATTTAGGTAGCTGACCAATCAGATCCATAATAGTCCTATTTGCTGCAGCATGATGGACCTTTCTGTGTTTCCATGGTTTCCAAATTGCCTGTCCTTATTTGCATACTTCCCCGAGAGCTCATTTTCTGTGTCTTAGCTCTATTCTGGAGACCCTCACTTGGCCTTAGGATTCTGTCACTGTAATTTGTTCAAATGCCTTTCTATTTGGTTTTCTTTGTCTCTAATAGTTGCCGTTAATGCATTCATGCCGTGTACAACTCTTCATATCATTTCATTTAAGTCCATCTGATAGAACGGTTCAGCTGCTAAGATTGAAAAAAAATGCATTAGAAAACTATTGCTCTCCCCCAGCCCCCAGTCCTGGGCAGTCTCCACTAACCATCATTAGCACCCACTACCCTTTCTCTTCTTCACCAGAGGCCAGCGTTCTCACTTTGTACTTCTAGACGTTAGAATAAGAAGACTGTGGGTTTTATTTGGCTTATTCTCTCTAGAGGAGTATTTGGGACAGGTTCTTAGAGAATGGTTGAGTAGGGTACTAGTGGGGGAAGGGGAAATAGCTGTTAGGAGGAGTTATGAGTCTGTCTTCCAAGATATCAGACAGAGTCACCTGCTGCCCTGGGAAAGTTCTGCTAAAACTCTGACTACTGCTAAAACTTGACTCAGCATCCCTCCCTTAGAACATGAGAAGGACCGGCTGTGTAAAAGTGCCGACTACATGAACCTGCACTTCAAGGTGAAGTGGCTCCACAATGAATATGTACGGGATCTGCCTGCCCTCCAGGGCCAGGTGCCTGAGTACCCAGCGTGAGTGTGTGGGCACCAGAGGGAAGGAAAGGGAGGGCAGGGGAGGGGAGGGGAGGGGTCGTCAGGGTAGGCAGGGATAGTGTCCTACATTCATTTCAGCAGGGCAGGCCTCAAACTGCCTGTGGCAGGCACTGCTGTAGAAAAAGTGTTCAGCAGTGTCCTGCCTTCTAAAAGATCCAATCTGGTGGAGTAAATTAGACATTATGGGTAGGTACCAAGCACTGTCTTTAATTCCTAGTTTTCCTGTTCTGGTTACAGGTGGTTTGAGCAATTTGTGCTGCAGTGGCTAGATGAGAATGAAGATGTGTCCCTGGAATTCCTTCGTGGGGCCCTGGAACGAGATAAGAAGGATGGGGTAAGTCGAAGGATTTGGCTACACAGTGATCAGTCCAGGTCTTCGGGCATTTAGCTATTGGCAGAGGTTTCTGGGCTTCTTCCAGGCTGACTGGCCTGTTCTGTGAAATCTTTAAGAAACTTATGGAGAGCACTGAGCCATCCCTGCTGAGCAGAGCTCTTTTAGACTTTTTGAGCTTGACAAAGGTAGAAGGTATGGATGGTTACCCCCATGTATGGTCTTCCTTAGTTCCAGCAGACATCAGAGCATGCACTCTTTTCCTGTTCTGTGGTGGACGTCTTTACACAACTCAACCAGAGCTTTGAGATCATCCGGAAATTGGAATGCCCAGACCCCAGCATCCTTGCCCACTACATGAGAAGATTTGCTAAGGTAATCATGGGCTTCCCTGTCCCTTCCCCCTTAGTACTACCACACTCACAAGTTAGTCACAGGCCTGAGTTCCAGGCCCCTCCACAGTGACTTTCAGGTAAAGCCTAGTGTTACTATTTCCCCTTTGCTGTGTCTGGGGCAGATGTGTCTGCAGTTGAGAGGAAGCTTTGCTCCTTCCATGAGAGTTCCCCTTTGCTTCCTTGATATTTTGGGAGATTTTTGTTTTGTTTTGATTTGGGTTTTTCTTTTATTTACTATTTTTATTTTATGTGTATACATGTATTGTCTGCATGTAGGTAAGTGCACTCATGTCGTGCAATGCCCGCGCAAGACAGAAGAGGCTGTCGGATCCCCTGGAACTGGAGTTACGGACAATTGTTAGCTGCCATGTGGGTGTCAGGATTCGAACCCAGGTCTTCTGCACGAACAGTCAATGTTCTTAACTGCTGAACCATCTCTCCAACCCCCGATTTGGGTTTTTGTTTTTTTTTAATTGTTCCTTTTTTTTTTTTTTTTTTTTTGAGACATGGCCTTGCTATGTAGCTCTGACTGGCCCAAAACTCACTATGTAACCTAGGCTGGTCTTGAACCTCAGCTGTCCTTCTGTCTCTGCCTCTAGAGTGCTGAGATTACATGCATGCCCCACCACAGCTGGCTCCCTGGTACTGTTGTTCTGGGTTGAGAAGTGAAACCTCAGGCAAGGTCCCTGTGGAGACAGCTGAGCAGTTCTTTCTTTTTTCTCTTTCCTCAGACCATTGGGAAAGTGCTGATGCAGTATGCAGACATCTTATCAAAGGACTTCCCAGCTTATTGCACAAAGGAGAAACTGGTAGGGTCAGGCCCTTGGGGCACTCAGAGAAAGGGAATGAAGGACATTTGAATGTTCCTCAGTTGCCCTTGACTTCTGGCTCCCTTCTAAGCTTTACTTGAGACTCATGCAGCAAGATAATGAAAAGTTGACTAAGTGTTCCTCTGAGCTCCATTTTGTGCTTTATCCATCACTAAGATAAGCCCTCTTTTAATAAAAAATTTCAGACATTCCAAGAGTTATAAAGAGTAATAAACTGACTACCTGTGCAACTACCACCCAGTTTAAAGGGAAAACATTTTCTTGCAGTCTTTGCTCAGAGAGAACTGTCTGAATTGGCTCCAGATATTAGTGCCTAGGGAGAGGCTTATGCAATGTGAACTCCCTGTGGTCTTAGAATAGTATAAGAGAGGGAGGGACCCTAGGCTAATGGGCCCTGTGCTGAAGTGAGCTAAGACTCAAGGGTTCCATCTGTCCCTAAAGCCCTGCATCCTGATGAACAATATGCAGCAACTGAGGGTCCAGCTGGAGAAAATGTTTGAGGCCATGGGAGGCAAAGAGGTAAGTCTTAGGGTTTGTGGTCACTGTACTTTGCCTTTTATTCTGAGTTGCCTGGGCAAAGACCTCTATGCTCTCTTGATTAGGTATAGGCTATGAGTTTAGCTTCATGTTTAGGATGATTTAATTTGAGATAGGCATTGAGGTAAAGACCTAGGATGAAGAGTAGCCATTAAGATATGATCATAGTAGAAAGGTGCAAACATGGACATAAGGGCCCTAGGAGGGAGGAATAGGCATTGGGGTATGGTCCTAAGAGGGAGAATCTGGCATTGGAATATGGCCGTAGAAGAGAGGAGCAGACATTGGGGTAAGGCCCTAAGAGGGAAGAATGATAGTCTATGAGAGAAGAACGTAAATGAGGCAGCCTGACCTTGTCTACCTCCTATGGCTACAGCTGGACTCTGAAGCTGCAGACAGTCTGAAGGAGCTTCAGGTGAAACTGAATACAGTTCTGGATGAGCTCAGTATGGTGTTTGGAAACAGGTCAGTAGCCCCCAAGTATGCAGCCTTTAGAACCGGGTGTGGTCCCTGGCCAGCCCCAGAGCTGTTGCCCATGCCCCTCCAGCTTCAGAGATGCAGATCTTCCTGTATTCCTGCTAATTGTCCCTCCTGGAGCTGTACCATGAGCATAAAGAAATGGGTCTGAATTGCTGGTGTTGTCCAGGGTCAGTGCAGGGGCAGGGAAGGCTGCACTGTGGGCACATGTGTAGCTTCCAGGTACGGATTGATGAGTGCATTCGACAAATGGCTGACATCCTGGGCCAAGTTCGGGGCACAGGAAATGCATCTCCCAACGCCCGGGCCTCGGTGGCTCAGGATGCAGATAGTGTGCTGCGACCTCTCATGGACTTCCTGGATGGCAAGTGAGTACAGTACTCCAGGAGGAAGAGTAAAGTAGAGGCTGTCAGACAGAGGAGTCTCTAGGGGAATGGGCATTCCAGACTCTTCCCCCAGCCTCACCTGTTTCCTGGGTCTACAGCCTCACACTTTTTGCCACTGTGTGTGAGAAGACGGTTCTGAAACGAGTCCTGAAGGAGCTCTGGAGGGTAGTAATGAACACCATGGAACGGATGATTGTCTTGCCCCCACTCACTGACCAGACAGTAAGAGCACCTCCCTCCCAGTCCCTTCTACTATCTCTCTTTCCCTCACTCCCCACTTCCTAATAAAGTTTGCAGTCCTCTGCTCTTGACTGATCCCTCTCTGCCCAGGGCACCCAGCTGATCTTCACTGCTGCCAAGGAGCTGAGCCAGCTTTCTAAACTCAAGGTTCTTGGGATGTGGGATCCTCATGAGGCTGTGGGGAGGGTGCATGGAAGTCTAAAAAGGAAGGGGGAGGAAAGGGACATGCTGCTGTGGACCAGCAGGTGAAACAGATTTTTATGACTGCCATTGGCTGTCCTGATATGTTCTCTGGGGTTCCAGGACCACATGGCACGAGAGGAAACACGGAACCTTACTCCAAAGCAGTGTGCTGTCCTCGACCTGGCCCTGGACACCATCAAGGTAGAGACTTTCCCGGTTTCCAGACAGCTTCCCATACACACTTGGCATCCCACCCTGCCAGACTAGGTGCCCTCACACTCTGAGCATTCCATATCCAAAGTGCAAGCCTTAGTCAGTGTCAGGGTTAGAGAGAGAGACAGATATGGTTCCAGATCCAAATACAAGATTGGGAAGGTGATATAATAAGCTAGGTCATGTGAGCTGTGGTTGAGGCATTTGGGGGAAATACTTCCCCAAAGGGGAAGTCCAGGGTATCAAGTTCCCTAAGACTCAGAGAGAGAAAAGATCACTTTTGGCAATTCTCCCTGCCTAAAATGTTTTATCCTATACCTGTCCAGGTAGATAGACCCTTCCTCTAAACACTACCTCCAGTAATAGGGCTCTTCCCTACTGTTCCTTCAAAATACCTGAATGATGCTGAGGGACCGTGACCAGCTCTGTGGGCGTCCCCAGTCTTCGCTTGCCAAATGATCTGTTCCCACAGTCCTGTCCTGGCTTTTCTGAGGACAGCTGGGGAGCTACCTTTTCTGTGAGGGGATGAAGCAGGTGCTCATGTATCTTTCAGCAATACTTCCACGCAGGAGGCAATGGTCTGAAGAAAACCTTCCTGGAGAAGAGCCCAGACCTGCAGTCTCTACGCTATGCCCTGTCTCTGTACACACAGACCACAGACACTCTCATCAAGACATTTGTGCGCTCACAGACTGCCCAGGGTAAGACCCAAAGGCTGTGTGTTCCCACCTCCCCTCCCATATACATCTGCGTATAGAAGTCAGTCTTGTCTAGCCCTTGTGGAGGATCCTATTTTTTTCTTCAAACTTGGATCTCAGTGTTCAGTACTCAACCACAGTACTTACCCATACCCATACTCATGCTAAGCAGGAGAAAGAGCCATATGGGCCTTGGAAATGTACCTAGGATTCCTTTTCCTGGACCTTGACTGCCCAGTGCACATTCATTGACCTCAACTATACCTTCTGGTAATGGGACAAAAGAAGGAAAACCCTATGAGGAGCCCTTGAGAAAATGGTTGAGGTACCCATGAAAGCTTAGAGCTTTAGGAACCTTGCTTAGAGTTGTCCTGAAGAGAGAAAACAAAGGGTTTCACAGACCCTGCACCATGGACAAAGAAAAGCCGAAGAGGCAAATTATGGGCATAGAGGCTTACACTGAAATTCTGAACTCATCCAGGAGCAAGGTCCCAGGAGGCACTTGGAGGCACACTTGTATCTCTCTCTCCACGGAAACTTGGGCAGGCTGTCAGGGGGTATGAACCTAATGGCATAGTAAGAGTGGGAGGCTTGGGTCTTACTGAGCTGTGGATGAAGCACAGAGTTGACCTGGAAAGGAGAAGTCTTAAGCAGTTAAGACTGGAAGTGACTGGAGGTGAGAAAATGGAGGGGACCTGCCCTCCTGCTGTGTCCTATTGCTGTTCTCAGCCCTGCAGCTCTGCCGTGTGTCCTATAGCTGTTCTCAGTCCTGCGGCTCTGCCGTGTCCTATAGCTGTTCTCAGTCCTGCGGCTCTGCCGTGTCCTATAGCTGTTCTCAGTCCTGCGGCTCTGCCATGTCCTATAGCTGTTCTCAGTCCTGTGGCTCTGCCGTGTCCTATAGCTGTTCTCAGTCCTGCGGCTCTGCTGTGTCCTATAGCTGTTCTCAGTCCTGCGGCTCTGCCGTGTCCTATAGCTGTTCTCAGTCCTGTGGCTCTGCCGTGTCCTATAGCTGTTCTCAGTCCTGCGGCTCTGCCGTGTCCTATAGCTGTTCTCAGTCCTGCGGCTCTGCCGTGTCCTATAGCTGTTCTCAGTCCTGCGGCTCTGCCATGTCCTATAGCTGTTCTCAGTCCTGTGGCTCTGCTGTGTGTCCTATAGGTGGTCTCAGTCCTGTAGCTCTGCTGTGTGTCCTATAGGTGGTCTCAGTCCTGTAGCTCTGCTGTGTGTCCTATAGGTGGTCTCAGCCAGGGTCAGGAGGAGAAAGCAAAAGAGACAGAGATGAGTGTGGCTGAGAACAGGGAGAACTTTTACAGAGCTGAGGCCATGGAGGATTCAAGTTAATCCAGAAAGGTTTTTTGGAAACCTTGAGCTATGAGCTAGATAACAGTGAAGGAGAGGCGGAAGGGGCTAGAGGGGGCAATAACAAGCCTATACCACAGGGAAAACAAATGTGTGCATTTTTTTTTAACCTCTTGTCATTTAAGGGCCTAGAAAATGGAAGCCTGCTACCTCTCCCCTGACCCACTGGTCTTGAATACCTTCTGTCTGTATTTTTTCTACTACTTCTGCCTTGATTTGTTTGATTTCCAACTTGTGAAGTCTAATGTGGACTACTCAGGCATTGCCCTTGGCTCTTGGATGTTTTTCCTATCCTGCCCTGTCTCTGTGCTTTCTCAGAATGTAAATGAACTTTGAATGGCTGTAACTCCTTTGACCTCTAATGACTCTTCTTTCTCTGTCCTGCTGCTGCTACCTTTTGACTTGCCTGTCCTGCTCAGTACATGATGGGAAAGGTATTAGGTTTACTGCCAATGAGGATATTCGGCCAGAAAAGGGTATGTTCCTTTACATTGTGCAGCCATGAACCTAATGTAGGCTAATACTGACCTCTGTGAGTTACAGTGAGCTGCTTATGCTAGGGATGAATGAACCAGCCGCCAAAAGTTCAGAAGCTCTATGCCAAATCTTAGTCCTGAGCAGTATGCTCATATATCCCAGGAGGAGCTTCTGTTCTGGACCTCCGTCCTGTCCTCAGAATTTCCCCACCTTTCCACCTCAAGACCAAGAAGGGTTTTATCTGAGGTGCAAAGTAGTGATGTGTTCTCAAAATCGAGTGCTGCCTCTTCCGAGAGAAGCCTACAGGCTACAAATTGGCTCTCTTCAGAGCTTGTGATTAGAGAATTCTTTCATGAATTTTAATAGAACAAAGAAGGCCTCCAAGGCAGGAGCATCCAGGAATCCTGAGAACAAGTGGGAGGTTGCTGTTTTTGGTTAGACGGAGTAGACAGAGATCCACAGGAAGCATTAAGAGACACAAGTCAGGGCATGGTAGCACATGCCTATAATCCCAGAAATCGGGAGGCTGAAGCAGGAGGCTCTCATATTCAAGGCTGGCCTGCACTATATAGCAAGTGTGTGTGTGTGTGGGGGGGGTGATATGAGAGAGAAAATTCCTAGTACAGATGTTGGAGTTTCTCCTCAGATGCCGTCCGTTTAACCTATGTTACAATGTGCAGCCTTATTCTTTATCACTTATTGTTCCTTCTTCCAATGGTTACTTCCCCCATGACTACTATGGGTGATTTCTTCTTTAGGGTATTAGTTGGGGCCTCCTAAACCCTCCTTTTGACCTTTAATCATCCTAGAGCTCTCCAGTGGGCAATCATCTGTCTGTCTCTCAGGGGCTGGTGTGGATGATCCTGTGGGAGAAGTCTCTATTCAGGTGGACTTATTTACCCATCCTGGCACTGGGGAGCACAAGGTCACAGTGAAAGGTAAGTGTTGTTGGTTTACAGATCTGACCTTTTCTTGTCTGCTTCCTCATGAATCCATTGAAGGCAGAGGCTGCTCATCCCTGTCCTCTAGTTATCCCAATCCTCAGCCTTTCTCCAAGCAGAAGGTGAACTGGGAATGCTTGGTGGGATCCCTCACAGATTTCCTTTTTTTTTTGAGCAGTGGTGGCTGCCAATGACCTCAAGTGGCAGACAGCGGGTATGTTCCGACCTTTTGTGGAAGTGACCATGGTTGGCCCACACCAAAGTGATAAGAAGAGGAAGTTCACAACCAAATCCAAAAGCAATAACTGGGCCCCCAAGTACAATGAGACATTCCATTTGTAAGTTATGGGGTAGGAGACCTTTAGGACTCTGGAATGGGGAGAGCTGGGTGGTCAGGCTGAAGCGTTAGAGGGGTGGGCTAGATTTCAAACTTGGGTAAATTCAGCTGATCAGTTCTGACTTCCTACTCTACCCTGTTCTCATAGTCTTCTGGGAAATGAAGAGGGTCCAGAGGCCTATGAGTTGCAAATATGCGTGAAGGATTACTGCTTTGCCCGGGAGGATCGTGTGATAGGACTGGCAGTGATGCCCCTGAGGGATGTGGCAGCCAAGGGCAGCTGTGCCTGCTGGTGTCCCTTGGGCCGGAAGATCCACATGGATGAGACAGGCATGACCGTTCTCCGGATTCTGTCTCAGAGGAGCAATGACGAAGTGGCCCGAGAGTTCGTGAAACTCAAATCAGAGTCCCGTTCCACAGAGGAGGGGAGTTGAACACCTTTGACTTCCAGACAGCAGCAACTGCACAGATCAGTCAGTGAGAGTTGGCTCTGTTAGCCAGCTTAGAGTCCTTGTAGTCAAGAGGCTGACTCTCCCCGTTAAGGCTATTTAAGAAAATTTGGGGGTAATAAGAATATGGCTTTTCAGAGGAAGGGTCACAAATCCCCAACTAGCAGGTCTGTGGTGCTAGGAGCTTGGCTACGGGAGCTATTATGTGGAGAGAGTTTCCATAAGTAGTCAGCGATAGACATTTCTAAGAATGTCAGCTATTCTTGTTTAGACAGCTGTCCGTCCCACTTCCCACCTCTACCCTTCGCTAAACCACATTTTGTCCAGTTAGACACATACCAATCACTAGAAGAACAAGTTTCAAGAGCCTTGAGCTTATGCCTGGCTAGCCCTGTGGTCTGTATTGGAGATTGGCCAGAGCAGGAACACACAGAATAGATTCACTATCTTTTGAGCAGTAGAACTGTTTTCTGTGGTTGCAATAGAACAAGGCTTGGAAACTGAACAAGATACCTTCTAGAATTCCTTCCCTCAGAATATCTGTCACAAGTCAAAGCAGGTTCACATGGTGCTTCAACACCCTGAGCAGATTGGAACCCAGGCATCGGGCCTCTCCTGCCCAGAGTTCCCTTCCATTCCTTCCATATAAGCAGGGGAGTGATGCTTAGAACACTCGAAACCATTCTTACATGTAAAGACCTGAGGGCTAGCTAAAAGATCCAAGGATATTTTCTTCTTGGGTAGTCTCTGAACAAAGCCAAAAATTGTGGAAACCAGTCTTGAAAGTCCTCACCTATGGCCACGACCTTCTGGCTATCCTCCTTACAGAAAACGTCTAGCCTTTGGCCTCTCTCCCTGTCTTTGGGATCAGCTGCTCTTGGACTGGTCAAGCATAAAGAAGGAACTTGGACTCTCATTCCTCTGGATAAGCTGGATGGAGGCGGATCTCAGTACTCCCTGGCAAGTGAGAGACAGACTCTTCCTGAGGGTCCAATGGACTTTGCAGACCCTTGCTCAGAGGAGTGAAATGGTCCTTGGGTTTCCTCATAGTAGCCTTCTGAACTTTTCCACAGCTATACCGGCCAATACGTGAAACAAGAAACCAAACATTTGCTGTTTTTAATTTTATGTGCCATTGTTACAGGAAATTATAGACTAGTCTGTAATAAATTATCTTATAGCAGCCTTTGGGGTCTCAAATTCTGTGAAAATGTAGAAACACATGGAAATGTCTATCCTATTTAATGATAGCTTTTGGACCCATGACCCCTGGCCATTTCACACACTCCCTCTTCCCACATCCTATAGCCAAGTGGAGCCCAAAACTGTTCTGAATGTGCACCAAGCAACACAGCAGCCACTAGGCTTTGACCTGAGACAACAATCTGATTAACAGTCATGTGACCTAACACATTGGCTTCCTACAGAAGGTCCAGAAGAGGAGGAGATGGCATGTGCCACTGGAAAGTACCATGCTTTTCTCCTTGTCTGGAATCGCCAGAACAGACTAGAAGCTGGGTTGTGAAACAGGGCAGACTATGATGAGGAGAGTGTGCTGGGTAGCTTTAGTGTCAACTTGACACACCTGGGTTGAGGGAGTCTCAGTTGGGGAATTGTCTCTTGGACTGGCCTGTGGCCATGTCTGATGGTCATCTTCTTTATGAGTGATGTGGGAGGGCCCAGCCCACTGTGGGTGGTGCCACCCCTGGGCAGGTGGGCCTGTGTTGCATAAGAAAGCAGGCTGAGCAGGGGCCAGGGAGCAAGCCTGTAAGCAGCATTCCTCCATGGCCTCTGCTCCAGCTCCTGCCTCAGGTTCTTGCCCTGAGTTCCTACCTTGGGTTCCCGGATGAACTGTGACCTGGGATATGTAAGCTAAATAAACCCTTTCTTCCCCAAGTTGGTAGTGGTCAGAATAGTTCAAGTTGACACTAAAGCTACCCAGCACAGAGGAATATGCCTGCAGTGGGTCGTGTAGGTGCTGAGGCTTCCATGGAAGGGACAGAGGTTAGGCTTTTCATTCAGGATCTCTTCAAGGAAGCTGAGCTGCAGTAGCAAAGTTCCTAAGGTAGAGGAAGGATGGTCAAAATGAGACCTCCTGGCCTAGGAATCAGAAAAGCTGACACAAAGGAAAAATCACCTACTTCCTCGGTGGCACTGTCACCACCTGAGACAGGGAACTAGCTCCATTTCCCTGCTTGCTAAATAGATTCTTACAGTTCAGTTGCCAAGTCATTGTTTTATTTGGTTGTGAGATAGGGTCTCTCTGTAGCTCTGGCTGGCCTGGAACTTGATACATAGACCAGGCTGGCCTTGATCTCACAGACTTCTGCCTGCCTGTGCTTCCCAGGTGCTGGGATTAAAGGCATGGGCTACCATGCCGGCCTCCAAGTCATTTTTATACTTGCTCCTTCCCTTTCCTCTCCTAAACCAGCCACCTTGTCATTTCTGTATCAGAATTGCCCCCATACACCTACTGTCTAATGTCTAGTCCCACTACCAGTGGGGACTTTTAGTTCCCTCTTCTGGATCACTGATAGTCCCAGAACTGTTCCTCTTCACACTGTTCTGTTAAAGCTCCTCAGTGATCACCCCGAGCTTCCAAGCTGAAACTCCGAGACTTTCCAAGAGGGCACAGTCCAATCCCCCAACACACCCAATCCTGCAGGTATCTGAAGCTTTGTCCTTACAGTTCCCCCCACAAGCCATGGTACTTGTGCCTCTGTGTCCTTTTACATTCCGGTCTTGCTGGAATGGTCTGCTGCTCTTTCCAGTGCGTTTTAGCCTGTCATCTCCAGGGAAGCTGTTGGGACCCAACCTACTCGGGACAGCACTCTTCGCTGATATACCGCGTCCCCGCGTCCTCTCATCAGCCTGTGGTCTCTTCCGGGCAGGGTCTGAGGAGGTCCTCTCTGGCCTAAGGCCCTTCAGGGACTAGCACTCAAGTACTTCAAAGCCAGGAGGACATCTGCAGGCTGCTGACCCGGTGGGGGGAGGGGCCTGATGAAAGGGGCGTGGCAAGGGCGGACTCGTAGGCGAGGGGCGGGCCCAGCTCTGGCCCGAAGCGCTGACCCTGTGGCACCTGCGCAAAAGGTGCGCTAAGATGGAGGTCGCTGGGGTCCACGGCTGTGGAGCGACGGTAAGCAGGGGGCGCCCGAGGAGAAGTTATGCCTTCTGGCCGGCAGTGCTCACGCGGAGGACCGTCCCTTCGTCGTTCCTCTCTGTGTACTTCCGAGGCCGTCCATCGTGCGCCCTTAGCTTTTCTACTCCCCAGATTACAGCTCACTCAGTACTCCTCGAATACATTGGCTCCCCGGCACTCGAGATGTGTTTGTCCGGATCCTTACTTAAGGGTTCTTTATCCTCGAGATAACTCCCAAGGGCACAGTTTTCCATAAAGCACCCTGCCCCTCAACTGTGGCATATTCCTGATAACTACAGGAGTTTGACCATTTTTCCAGCACCGCTAAGATCCTCAGAAGGTATTTACTATCATTCTCTTAACAAACGGATGCCTACTCGGCAGGGAAAGTAAAACTCTACCTGATTTGCAACAGGCTTTCAGATCTGAATTAGTATCTGCATTATCTGTCTGAGGAACCACTGACATTGACATTGTTAGACTTACCTCATTTATTCATTTATGAGACGGGCTTGCTAGGTAGGCCTAACTGCCCTGAAATTCACTGTGTAGACCAGACTGGCCTTGAACTTGCAATGATTCTCCTGTCTGGTCCTCTTGACTGTTTGAGCCCCTATACCCAGCAATTGCTAAAACAATATTTCAACCAGCACTTCTAAGGCAGAGATAAGAGGATCAAGACCGGCTGGCAGCTTTTTTGGAAAAAAAAAAGAAAAAAGAAAAGTAAGCTGAGGCTGCAGAGATGATTCAGTAGTTAACTAAGAGCACTGGCTGCTCTTGCAGAGGACCCAGGTTCATTTCCCAGCACCCACATGTTCCCAGCTAACAACCATTCCTAACTCCATTTCCAGGGGATCTGAAGCCCTCCTCTGCCCTCCATGGCATTGCATGCAGACAAAATAGTCATACACATAAAATAAAAATAAATAAAATTTTAATTGGAAGACTTGTTAGCTCACAAAGCAAGTGACCAGAACTGAGAAAGAGCATTAAAGTAGTCTAATAGTTCATTGTAGGCAGCAGTTAGTGTCTTCTCATGCTGGACTTCACATGGCTGGTGTCAAGGAGCCATTTGGATATATGACCCTGGCGAGAACTTAGGGGTCATTTTCTTAGCTAACATTTTAAGTTCCTAATGAAAACTGAAATCCAAATGTTATACACACACACACACACACACACACACACAAATGCATGTATGTTAATGCTCCTGTAATGTTCTAATTGGATCAGAGGTCATCCCAAAAGTTAGAACCAAGGGTGGTATCTGTACTAACATAATTTTGGTAAGAGGGTTCAAGCAAAATATATGAAAGTAGCTCTGATTCATTTGAACTTGAAGCAATCCCATGTGCGACTCATCTCTCTGATAAGGCCAGGTCAAGGGCAAGGTATTAATTTCCCTCTCTGGTTACAAAAGGCCTGGCTCTGATCTATCCCAAAAGTAACGTATCAAATGCACTAACTCCAGGCAAAGGATATAGCCCAATGGTGGAGGATTTGCCTAGCCTGTGCAAAGGAACACACTAAGAACTAGAGAAAAAAAATAAAAGTATCAAGAGGGCTAATTCTGAACACACAGTAACCCCCGTCTGGGTAATAATAGGTTTCAGACTGTGTCTAATCAGAAGTAGAGCAAAGTACCTTTAATAGTGGACTTTTATAATTCAAACCATACTTTACATATTAAATAGCACTATAATAGAATGATTTGATAGTTTTAAACTAGCAATATAATTTACATATTAAATATAATTTACATATTAAATAGCACTATAATAGAATGATTTGATAGTTTTAAACAGAAGAAAAAAGAAAAATTTCAGGTTACAAAACCTGAAGTAGG